GCTTTTTAGTTGAAATTATTGATAAGACTAAGCTTGCACTGACTACAATTCAAAGGTTTCAAGCACGGCTGAGATAGAAGAAGATGTGGACTATAAACAGATGAGGCTGCAGAAAAGAGCACCTGTCCGGAAAGGCTTCTACTTAGGCTAGTCACACACTGCGTCCGAAGTGACAGTTCTTTCATGTGGAAGAATCAGCAGGTCATTTCTTCATGCTCTACTGATGAAGATATTGGCTCTCTCAAGCAAATTAATAATGATTACTTTTCATATTTGTAGAAATCTTCAACGCATAAGAAAGAAGTAATTAATGTGATAAGCTCTCTTATGCACAACGGTATGTAGCAAAATAAAAATTTTCAAATGTTTGCACATCCGTGTTACAGTGCCCTCGTCTCTGGGCAGTGTGGGAAGGGGGCAATACTAAATTTTCTGGGCCAAAATTGCATCTATGTGCTGATGACCCTGTCTCAGTTATTCTTCCCTCATTGCTGAGACAAACACCCGACACCCAAAATGAAGGAAGGAAAGGTTTGTTTGGCTCACAGTCATTGGAGGTTTCAGTCCGTACTCAGCTGTTCCAAGGTGGAGGGGCACAGGACGGGTATCATCCTCTCATGTAGGGAGCTGCGTGTAGCCGCGCCCTAGGATGGCACCGGTTTCCACCTTCCACCCCCTCAGGGGGTGAGCGCTCCTGGTAATCAACAACTCCATAAAAGGCCAAGGCTTGGGCTAATGCATTGCTTCCACATACCTGGACCAATGGACGGTACACATGTGGCACCCCATGGTTGGAAGCCCTGAGACTTATAAGCTAAGAGCAGGGGCCTCGAGGAAAAAGAAGGCTGATGTAACAGGGAAATAAAAGTTGCGCAGACACAACCAGTGGTCGCGTCTCCCTTGCTGGCAAGGCCGCACGCAACACTCTCATGGTGCAGGGAGAGAAAAGAGCAAAATGGAGGAGTAGTGGCAACAACGACTACAGAGAGGAAGTCTGTCTCTCTTAAGTTGTATTCAGGCTCTCTGCCCCAGGCTGGGGGAGGTATTCACACCCCCAGTCCCAGAAGTACTAAGACCCATAATCTCAGTGGATCATGAGTTAATCTCAAACTGAAGAAGTCCTCATCCCATGACTGCATGAGGCTTTGGAGGGACAACTAGACACAAACCATAACAGACCCATATATCTATATTTTCAAATGATATCTTTTTCTATAACCAGCTGAACAGTCCACATGTATGCTAATACATCGTTTATGTTAAGTATTCCATAGAACCAATTATATTTAGATCCACTTAATACCTACTCCTCTTACATTAGCTCAGTAATGAACACACAAAAATACAAAATTAGGGGTTTGGCTGTCCAAGTGCCTGCCTGTAAGTGCAAGGACCTGGGTACAGTCTCCGGTACTGCATGCTGTCCCAGCCCTGGGACCCTGGGCATGCTGTGCTGGCCAGCAAAATCAGGCAAATTGGTACACACCTGTAATCCCAGTGCTGGGGAGGCTGAGACAGGACAATCACTATGAGTCTGAGCTGCATAGTGAGACCCTGCACCAAATAAATAAATTAATTAAAGATTAAAAAATACATAATTAACATTCTAGAGAATATTTCTAAGTTATAGATTTTATTTTCAAAAGAAGTATGTGAGTAAAATATTCTTTTATTTTTAATCTTTGGGCTTCATTTGGAGATTGCTCCAAATAAGAGTATAGTTTATCATTTTTACTGCATATGGATATTACGATCCATGCTCTCAGATTTAAAAACCTATGCACAAGGTACCTGATGTTTCTTTTCCACTCTAAAAAAAAAAAAACAGCAAATTAAGCTGGGCTTTAGTTAGGATGTCTTGAGTCATAGATCAATGACTCAGGGCCCAACCCATGCACTTTCCCAGGCTGACCGCATGATTCGGTCTGTACCAGGTTGCAGGAGCAAAATATTCTTACCTGGTAATAAAGGGCATGTGCTTTTCTATGAAGAGATAGAAAGATAGGAACCAAAATTTTTAATTGGCTTGTTCATTTGTCTGTCTGTTTAATTCTGTGTTCTTCTCCAATTGCTGCTCTGATTGTCTTGGGGAACCTCAACGAACTTGTAGGGTGCAGAGTGCACAGTGTGTTAGACAAGTGGACAGAGGCACAAGCCAGTTTACGAATGCCACCAAAGTAACAAGACAATAAGTATGTCACTTCCCATCTGACACTTATTTCAGTGCTCAACAATGGCCACTAGAGCCAAACCGCAAAACAGAAAGACAAAACCTAAAATGAAACATTTTAGAACACAATGGGGAATTACTCTGCCATAAAAAAGTGAGCTGTTGCAGGAAAATGGGTTCTCCTTGAGACCACAAGGGTAAGTGAAATAAATCAGACACACAAGCGTCAATATTGCATAATTTCTCTCTTATAAGAAACTCAAATTATAAATAAAGAGCAAAATTTACAAAATGATAATAGGAAGTAGGGAGAGAGCTTTCTCAGCTGGGAAGGGTATCAGGGGATGGAGGGCTGAGGAAGAGGGAAGGGAAAAGGAAGAAGAAGGGATAAGGAAGGGATATGGACGTGAACCAACTCTGCATGAGGAATGTAAACATTACGTATGCAAACAAGAGCTGATAAGAAATTTCTCAAAACATTTTGCATACCTAGATTGATCCTGCACCCAAATATATTGGGGACTTGAAATTTGGTTTTAGGCAATATGTGTTTATTTTTGTGAAATGTGAATACTGTATCATAAAATGCTTCAACAACAAAAACCAAATGAGTGATTTCTGTTAGCATGATGCAATAATTTTTATTTTAGCACAATGTAAATATTGATACCATGACTATATTCTCTGAATTTATCAGTGAACTTTTCCTGTTTGATTCCCTGAGGCATCACTGTAATAATCCATTTACTTAAATGATGACAAGCAATTTCATAAAGTCATAAAAGTTCAGAGTTTAGTCAAGTGTTGAATTCTGCTGTATGCTTTTTCAGTTATCTTACTGTAATAATATTATTAAATAAAACATGTGTTCAGCATACTAAAATACAGTCTATGTATGTATAAATTTAATATGTTATCTCTATAAGGATTGAGTTTAAAGCTTTTCTACGAAAGCATAACCCATTATTGGCCAGTGCACTTTAAGATATTTAAGTTAAAGTTTTTCCTACCAGAGCACCTGGTTTCTAAGCAGTTCATCATTTTTTATACTCTTTAAATTTTATTTTTACAATGAAAAATCTGAATAGAGTTCTGCAGTAAAGAATTTACAAGGGATTGTTTGAAATAAGTGTATGACATTGTGTGATGGATATACACACATGTGGGACATACATCTACACCCCGCGTTTCTGCGACTTTTGCTTTCATTTTCCAGTTACACGTCTGCCAGTGTAACCAGGAGAAACTGGACTAGGTGGGAAGACCCTCACAGCCAGCCGGTGCCTAGTGTCTTCCAGGATGCAGAGCTAGATAGACACGTGACCTGAGTAGAGTGTTCCTCTGGTCAGCTCCTGGCCTTCCTAAGTGATTAACCACTAGGACGCCTCCAGATTAGACACCACGTGTGTGCAGGATGGGCTTTCTATAGAAGCTCCAGTTCAACCTCACTCAGGAGGGAGTTTTCATTCTCTAATTTAAGCTAGTTTTCTTTAAACAACATTAGTACATTTATGTATTATTTGGTACGAGGTCTCACTATGTAGATAGAACTTGTGGAGATTCTCCTGTTTTCAGCTTCCCCAGTGCTGGGATTACAGGCATGCTTGTCACCATGCCTGGACTCTGTCACCAGCTCAGCGTGCCCTGGGGGCAGAGCTGGGCTGGCATGTGGGACCCTGGTTCCTGCACTTGCTGAATTAGGAGCTTGGTCCTCTGAGCTATCTTGTGGGCTCTTGCTTGCATTATTTTATCTTTCTTTTCTTTCATCAAGGCAGACGATCTCACTAGTAAAACAGCAGCTCAGAAAAGTAGAATATAGCTACTCATTTACACCCACCACCAGGGACCAGTGGTCGCCTGAGATCGCGTCACGCAGACATTCTCGAATGGCAAGGCACACCGAGACGCAAGTGCACACACTCACAGACAGAAAGATCAAACGTGAAATCTGATATACAGGAGGCAGGAAATGTTTTTCAAAATTGAATGAAATTATAAGATTATAGATGATTTAAAATAACATATACTTCAATTTTATTTAAATTTAACATAAAAGCAAAAGGAAAACCGGGTCCTTGTTAATTGCTTTAGTGAGGGTTTTTTTTTTTTTTTTTTTTTTTCATCAAACACATTTTTTTTTCCTAAAAATTTCCAATGTGAATGTGCGATACCTTTGAAACACTGAAGTTTTAAATTTTTTTTTTCCACAGTGGTATCCAGTTTCTTTTCACAAAGAAAAAGCTCCGGTCCATCTTTTAATTTTTTAAAAAAATTCCTGACATTACAGATGTAAACTGAAATGCATTAATATTCCACTCTTACATTTTCATGACAAGCAGAAAAATTCATGAGCAAAAAAAACAAACAAACAAAAAAAAGGGAGAAGCTTATAAAACTAAATATGGATCTCAGCATAAGCAGCTGAACACAGAAGGGAATTAAAACACTTTGATTAAAAAATCATGGGTGGATGATAAAGTGTGTAGAAACTGAAAATTTATAAACTATCTAACACCTGGAGTTGCTGACTGTTCGGAAAGCACACGGATGGATCGTGGTGGTGGCGGTGGCCAGCAGAAAGAGTGATGGATGAATCTGCGTCGTTCTGGCTGCTCCCAGGCCACCCGTCTCCGAGGAAAGCCTGGCATTGATTAGATACTGAGCCAGGTTAATGCTGGCAGCAGATAAAGTGATGGTAACCTGCCTGGCAGTAGATCCTTCCGCTGGGTTCGCAGTTTTGATCTGCGCCCCAGACATCTGACGGATCTCATTGATTTTGTTGCCTTGACGGCCAATTACGCAGCCAATCAAATCGTTCGGAATGGTGAGTTCGTGAGAAATAGTCTGAGCAGATGCATCCAAACCTGCCCAGTAGCCTTTCACCTCTGGAGAGCTGGATTCAAGGCCACTGAATCCGGTGTTGCCAGGCATCACGGAAAATGAGACTGCTGTGTTGCCGACTGGCGCAGCTTCATCAACTCTGGCTGCGGAATGGCACGCTGTCCTTGAACGGTACAGGCCTGACCACCTGCAAAGATGACTGGAGAACTTGATGGCTTGGGCCGGTACGGGATGGTCACGCTCTTCGTGGGGGACTGGGAGAGAGTTTCCAACGTGGTCCCGGAGATCTGTCTGTCACGCTCAATGGTGGACTGCGGGGTGCCAGCAATAGCGACGGCCCGCTCAGCTGAACTGGGGAGCGCATCTCCTGCCACTCGGACCTGAACCCATGTGCGCTCCCGTATCTCCTTGGTCTTGCAACCGCCTTTTCCAGTGAGAGAGCCACACTGACTAGCAGGGACCGCCAGCCTCAGAGTGAGCGGGGCTCGACTGACAGCTGTGCTATTGGTCACAGAGCTGCTGCTGTCCTCTTCCAGTTTGTCAGGGATCATAGCAAAGGCTTTGAAGGTGGCATTAGTGGGACCAGCCCAAGAGATAATTCGCTCAAGACAATTTCCTTCTGAGACATTGATACGTGCCCCACTCTCCTCACACATCTTCTTAACTGATTCTCCTTTTTTTTTTAATGCTGACACATTCAATAATTTCCTTGAAATTCTCGAAAGAGCAGATCTAATCTATACTGAAAAAAATCAGTGGGTACCTAAGGCCAAAGGCCATGCTATGCAGGAATTGATTACACAGGGTCATGAGGAATCTTTTGGGCATGATAGATATGTTCTATTATCTTGATTGCACTGGTGGTTACAAATGTGTTTTTGTCAAAACTTGTCAAGTTTGGGCACGGTGGCACATGGATGTAATCTTAGTACTTGGTTGGCTAAAACAGGAAGACCATGAGTTTGAAGGCAGCCTGGGTTCTACAGCAAATTTCAGGCCAGCCTGAGCTACAGGAACTCCACCTGGTCCTACAGTTACCTCAGTGACATGCTTGTTGATAACTTTAATCTTATCACTGAAACCATTTTCCTTCACATCTTTACAGCAGCCTCAGCCATAGGCTTGAAAACCTCACTAGCATAGCACAAGCCAGCACCTGCTGTGGCTGCCACCATTGATAACAGCCAGTGCCAGGGCCAATATCCAGAGCAAAGGCCTTCTGTCCCCTGCCCTTCACCCTCTTCACAGCAGCCCAGATTCCTTCCTAGTATTTTATATTCCTGTCTTTGTCATGTAGCATGTGTGCGTAGGAGGACCTGGCAGTCTCCTGGTGGTTGTCACAGTGCTCATCCTGCCCCAGCCCGTCCATGGGTCCTGTGGTGGGATTCGTTCACCCGCAGAAAATCTTCATGGTGCCAACCGGCTCTTCAGCGTTGAAATAGAAACTTTGCTAACTCGTGGCAGATTCATGTCTTGCACAGCTTGTCTCCCAGAAGAGATCCATTTGGGGGAGGCAGAGAAGAGCCCCACTGCTGAGTCGGAAGGCACTTCTCAGCAGGTCCAGGCTCTGCTACTAGTCTCCTACTCAGAAATCAGCAAGTAAGACACAGGCGTAGTGGCTCATGCCTGTAATACCAGAACTTGGGAGGCTGAGGCAGGAGGATCGTTGCAAGTTCAAGACCAGCTTGGGCTACAAAGTTCAAGGCCAGCCTAAACTGCATAGTAAGACCCAGCAGCGAGGAACACTCCTTCTAGCTCCGCCGCCAATGCCATCTTGCCCCTGATTCTCCTTTCTTTCCAATGATACTGCCAACTTCATTCCCGTGCATAAGTAGCCGGATGGTGTGAGTGACATTTAATCCACCTTCAATCACGCCGGTGTCTGTGTCGAATACTATGGGGAGCTGGACTTTTTGAGGACTCAAGTCTTTGGTCACTGGTGGGGGTCAAAGCCAAAAACTGCAGGTGCAAGGCCACTGAGGTGATAAGGGGGGTGGGTGAGAAGGGGAAGGGCAGGAGGCTGGGGACGGAACAATAGGGGTGGACAGGAAGGCAAGGCGCGCCCGTGCGTGGCTGGAGGAGGAATGGGGGGGTGGAGGAGGAGGAAGAGGAAGAGGGAAAGAGAGGAAAAGTTCTGGGGACCTATTGTTGTTGTTTGTTTATGCACTCTCCTATCTTTCTTTTCTTTTTGTAGTACTGGGGATTGAACTCAGGACGCTGCGATTTCCAGACAGGCACTTATTCTACTGAGCTATCTCCCCAGCCCCCGACTCTGCTGCAGAGTACAGGACCATGGCTTTTGCTGCAAGGTTTTCAGTCCTTAAGCTGCGTGTGTCCCCTGCCAACGGCTATAGTCACTGCTTCTGTCCTGCTCCACCTTCACTTTCAGCCCACGAGATTTACACTGCTTTGCTTTCAGCTGTGCTTTTAAAAATGTTTCTAATAATCTCTACAGCAATCTTACATGTTTTAGGACTGAAGAATATTTCATGTTACTTAGACTTTAACAGCAGTGAAAATAAGATTACCTATTGCAGTTTCATTTTAGCCACCCCTCCTGAGTTTGCTTCTTATTTCTACTTAGAATTATTGATTCAGAGCCATAGGTGTGTCACTGTGTGCTTTTATTGAGTTTGTTGTTTTCTATTTGCCCTCTCTACTAATCTACTTTTTTTTTGTCGCTGGCTCAGCCCACCCTGGGGGTGGGGCTGGCATGGTATGTGGTGCCAGGGATCAAACTGGGGTCCTTGACTTTGCCTGAGCTTGCCTAAGCAGGTGCTTTAGACTGCTGAGCTATCTCGCTGGCCCTTCTACTAATCTACTTAATCTCCCTTTCCTTTTTTTTTCTCTCTCTCTCTCCCAATCTTTCCATTTAGTCTCATTTTTTCCTGTATTATAAATTGAACACTATCCTTTTCTTTTAATTCCCACTTAAAATTTTAAATTAGTTACGTGTTGATTGAGAATAACAGATGCTGCTGAAACTGCTGTTTTTAATTTTTTACTATAGAGCAAAGTAAAGAATGAGTAATTTTTAAAAATATTAAAATAATATACACTGAGAAAAGCTCACAAAGTTGGACCAATGACTTTACATACTGTTTACATTTTTTATGTCTTTTGATGAGAAAGATAGACAATTCAGTCTTCAGGAAAAAATAAATTTTTATTTCTGAAGAAATAAAAAGTAGGGTTTGAAACAGTGTTCTCTGCCACATTCCTCATATGAGGAAGAATGTTTTCCAAGAGAAAGATTAAAGGGCTTCCATGAGCCTGAATCTTGTCGCTCAGCAAAGATCGCTTTCTTAGAGCTCACCTCAGCAGGACTGCCGCAGCGCCTCGCACGCCCGTGGGGCGCCTCGAGCCAGCCGTCTTTACGTAAAGGCACAGTTTATTGTTCACACATTTGTTGAGATTTGTTAAGTCTGACCCAAGCAAAGACTATGCGACCGCAGTCCTCCACAGATACTTCTGCAAGGCGTCTCCTATTCATCAGCACTGCTGAAATCCTTTGAACGATCTCACGGAATTTAGCTATTCCTTGATGGCACTTCCTTTATTTGGCCTTCTTGCTGGACTCTTACCCTGAGATTACCACGTTCCTGAGGGATATAGATTTGTTTAATTTCAGAAGAGAGAAAAAACCTATATCAGCTATGCCCTGAGATTCTCAGTTCTTCTCCACCTTATTGTTAGTAGAAATTTCTCTGTAATAAGGACTGGTGAGACAGCTCAGCGGACTAAGCGCTGGCTCAGGCAAGTGCAGAGTCCAGGGTTCGACCCTTGGTATCGCCCCATGCAGCACCCGCCCTGCCCTCAGGTGCGCTGAGCTGGCGGCGAGTCCAGGCAAGGCGGTGCGGGCCTGTAATCTTAGTGCTGGGAGGCTGAAAACAGGAGGATCACTGCAAGTCCAAGCTGCATAGAGAGACCCTGCACCAAATACATAAACAAAAAAGAAAACAATTCTCTGTAGCAGTAGCAGAACTATTGCCCACTTTAAAGAGGTGAAATTTCTGTATGCTTTTATTTGGTATTTACCAGGAAATAAGAAGAGACTACTACTAAATTAGATATTAAGTATAAAGTGTTTCCAATACTGGTTTCCAAGTCCTAGGAAAAGTGGTTTACATAGATGGTTCTTATAATTTTCATGCAACTTTCTGGTGAATAATCCTGCCTCGTGTCACAGGGGAAGAAACTGAAACATAGACAGTTTAATTTACTAACCCTGCAGAACTAAGAAACAACTCCCCTGCCACCTGTTCCCCAGTTTAACCGGGGAGCCCAGGTTCTTAAAACAGGACACAACTATTCAAGAGTTGATGAAAAATAGTCAGAGTGCTCTTTCCATTTGTCCATATTGGTTTCTGAGCTCTCAGGATTCATATGTCATTACTGTCTACTTTTATGTAATGTCAGGGGAGAAGCCTGATGTTTCCTTAGCCTCTGACTCTGAGTGAAGACAACAACAGCAACAACAACAACCTTTCAGTTTTGATTAGGCACCTGGAGGCAGCTGGGGGGGAGCAGCTCCCCAGGGGGCATTTTGTAATGCACCATCTTCAAGCAATTTAATGTGTTTTCCATGATTATCCTTGACACTTTGAATAATTAACAAAGACAGTTATAATTTTTGAAAGGACTAAGATACTCACCTTCCTAGATGATGAGAAAGTTTGAAAGGCTAAAAATGATGCCCATCCTTTGATTGGTGACCAGGAAGTCTTCCACTTTGCTATCATTTTCTAAGAGAGAAAAAAAGCAAAAGGGATATTTCTTAATATATTTGATGAGTGAAGATTATTTATAAAAACTTACTTTTATTCATAAATTTAACATGTTTCGTGAGCTCCCTTAAATACTCAGGATGTTGCTTATTAAATAATGCAAGTATGTTGTATATGTTACTATTATATATCATGTATTCTACAAGATATATTTACATAAATAAAATATGACTTTATAATGAGTAATAACAGTCAGTTTCTAATGGCGGTCTTCTCTGAAGAACAAGTGATGCAGTGGTTTCCACTTAGCTGCCCCTGCTCGGTCCCTTACACAGGGGCAAGGAAGGCACTGTCCACTCCTCCACGCTATCCTGGAGGTTAGTTAGGGTCCTGGAATGCAGGAGTAATTCACTGAACACTACTGATTTCTCTTTTGGTTCACAGCATGAGGTGTGCCCGAAGTAATTCACCTCCATTCCGTATTTGTGAAATATCATTGTCTCTGAGACTCTCAATTTTCTTCCCTGAACTCATCCAAAGGTATTATTAGTTCTTGTGCATCCTTAATAGACATTATATGTGTGTACAGAAAAATGATTTTATGGATACTTTAAAAAAATGCTTTTTTACACAAAAATGGCAGCACATTCCGTATGCTCGATGAGAATTTAGTGTAGGAAGCTTTTATCACGGTATCTTCTTTGTATAAAAAAGAGGACGCTAAGCTGAGATTTCAGGGATTCTTCTCAGGCTCCTGCGACCTAATACTGGAGCTGAGAGCGAAAGCTTGAGCCGCGCTGAGGAGGCTGCACCCTTCGTTCCGTCTCTCCTCCCAGCGCTGAAGGGCCCTTACACACCATTTGTCCCCGTCTCTACATAATTTCAGGCTATGTTCACATTTTTACAAGATTATTCATTTCATAACATTGGTCATTTCTGAACAGGATCTTGACTAAATATATCCCGCTGACAGGACCCAAATCTTGTTTGGTGTCTTGGCTCTTTGGTATCAAGAAAATGCATTTTCTTAGGCTGACATTTTCTGTTCCTCGCTTTTGTTCTCCTTCTCACTTAACCACACGTATTGAGGCTTATCCAAAGTTAGTTTCACTCTTTATAATGGTCACATAATAGCCGGAGTATGACTTTATCATGATGCATGAAATCTGCTCTGGTGGAACAACTGCTATTCCCTAATCTTCTGGAATTATAAACAGAGCCGGCCAAATGACTTTGTAGCCACATTACGTACACTCCTTGCTTGTACTTGAGAATAGTTTTCAATAAAGTACTAGTAGCAATTCTTCTAGACCACATAAAGGCTTGTTCATGCCTTTGTATGCCCAGCTGAGGCGTACAGAGAAGAGCACATTATTCCATGGGTTATGGCAGTAGAAAGGCCGCAGACGGAAAGTTAATCTCTTCGTGCTACGATCTCAGAGGCAGCTGTTTAGGTGGGCTTCGGGAGGGGGGCCCAAGAGATTGCACAATAAGCCACCAGTTTTGCTTGACACCACTGGTGTCTTCCTGTGCTCAATGACCGAACAGCCACAATGTCTAACTTTTTAATTCTACCGCTCTTTGATTTTAGTTGCATTACCTGGAGTCACATTCTTTAGGAAAGCTTGTAAGACTTCCCTCAGGTTTCTCTAACACGTGATTCAGTAGAGGAAAGAGATGTGCAATCAACATAGCTTATAATTCACTATACAGTATGTTAGTGTACATACTGTACAAAAAAACCTGGAAGGACAAACGGCTATTTGTGAAGTATAGCACAAAATGTTGCTTTTGTTGTCTGATTTCTATGTGAGGACTGAAGAAGCAGTCTCTCGTGATGGGAGCGCTTGCTACTGAGGAATCTTAGGCTGACTTCGAGAGTCACCTCAGGAAAAAGGGCCAGCTTGTGTGGTTACACTCCTTTCCTCGGAGCATCTGCTGCCCAATGCACGGTCCATGTACCAAAGTTAGATCTCTTCACCTTGGATTGGACCAGTTTTTCAGGGCTTGCCACCTCCCACGGGACCTGCCCATACCGTGTCAGGTCTGCCGTGCAGCTTAGCCCCTGCCCTGCCCCTCAGTGTTTCAGTCACTTTCTTAAGAGCACTTGTTCCTGGTAAAATCCCCAAGAATTTAATGTATGGTAATCCCCATTCAAGAGTCTGTTTCTGCTGGGCTCTGCACAACATAGGCCATGTAACTGTTTACA